CATACTTCTATCAGATTGCTTTTAGCAATGGCAACTCAGCATGACATGGAGATTGAGCAGATGGATGTGAAGACAGCGTTTCTTCATGGGGATCTAGAGGAGACAATTTTCATGGCTCAACCAGAAGGGTTTGTTGAATATGGGAAAGAAAACCTAGTATGTCAGCTAAAGAAGTCCCTGTATGGCCTGAAACAGTCTCCAAGGCAGTGGTACAAGAGGTTCGATTACTTCATGCTGAAAATCAATTTTAGAAGATGTTTATATGACTGTTGTGTGTACTATCATGTATTCCAAGATGGGATGGTCATATTGCTGTTGTTATATGTGGATGACATGCTAATCGCTTGCCAAGACAAGTCTAGAATTCAAGACTTGAAAAAGATGTTGAGCAAGGAGTTTGACATGAAGGATCTAGGTGCAGCACAGAAGATCCTTGGCATGGAAATTCAGAGAGATAGGACCGCTGGAAGGATTTGGATATCACAAGCCAAGTATATTCAGAAGGTTCTTGAGAAGTTCAACATGCAAGAAGCAAAGGTAGTTTCGACTCCTTTGGCAGCTCACTTCAAGTTAAGTGGGCAACAGTGTCCTAAGTCCGAGGAAGAGCAGCAAGTAATGGAGAAGGTTCCTTATGCTAATGCCGTGGGCTGCCTTATGTATGCAATGGTATGCACACGTCCAGACATAGCTCAAGCAATCAGTGTCGTTTCCAGATACATGGGAAATCCAGGAAAGCAACATTGGGACGCAGTCAAATGGATTTTGCGTTATTTGAAGGGTTCTTGGCGACAAAGGATTATGTTTGAGAAGCAAAAAGAAAATGCAAGGGTGTTGGGATATGTGGATGCTGATTATGCAGGGGACTTGGACAAGAGAAGGTCAACTTCTGGTTATGTGTTTACATGCGCAGGAGGACCGATCAGTTGGAGGGCACTACTGCAACCAATTACAGCTTTGTCGACCACAGAGGCGAAATATATTGCATTGGCCGAAGCTGGAAAGGAAGCAATTTGGCTTAATGGCTTGGTAAGTCAAATGGGAATCACCCAAGATTGTGTGAAGCTGAAGTGTGATAGTCAAAGTGTCATTCACTTGGCAAAGAATCAAGTTTTTTCTGGAAGATCAAAGCACATTGAAGCAAGATATCACAGAATCA